TCGCAGAGTGCAGTTGTGTTTGGGGTGGATTTTTTTTTTTTTTTTTTTTAGCATTTTCCAAGTATAGCCATTTTTGCCTTTTTATTGAGTCAGTTTATGTTTGGTGTAATTCTGATATGTTTGGGTTATGTTAGCTGCCTCAATATTCACTGTTTTCACCTTCCCATTCTGTGCATATTCCCCTCATTCCTTGCCTGTCTGTTTCCAAACATCCCCTCCACAGTGTGGGGGTCACACAGTTTTCTGTCCCTAAGCAGTAGCTCTAGAAAGCACTTCACATGTCCTTTCCTTAGTGACATAAACATATTTTCACCTTTTCTTGGACAGTACCAGGATCTCAGAGGTTCCATTCCCTCCACTCTACCTTGTGCTCTTTCTCATTTCCTGCACGTAAATCAGTGCAGTGAGACCTGAGACATGGCTGTCATCATATCCACGTAGCCGTCTTCACTGGCCCTCCCCCCAGAAATGCCTTTCACACTTCCCTAGACAAAATATGCTCATGACAAACCCAGGCCCTCCTAAATGTGTGAAAATGCCATCATTTTGCCTTGGCCTTGAAGGATGTTTTTGGGCATGGTCATTTTCCTCCAGTGCCTCTGAAGATTCCTTTATACCATCTTGCCCTCCCCACAGCTCCTGCTGGACGTCAGCTCTCTGCATGCTTTGCCCCTGTCTATCCCTGTGCCATCTACCTCTGTGACCTATTCTGGGCTTTGCCCTTGCCTGGAGTTTCATAGGTTTACTAGAAGAGTTCAGGTGTTCTTTCCCTGTGGTTTGTTCAGCTGAGATCTCAGGCAGCCTCAGGCACTGAGGAGCTGCAGCTGCAGACCAGACCCATCCAGAGCTGGCTGTGGGCCATGGGACCACACAGGCATCTGCAAAACTGGAGGAGGGCTTCATGGGCTGAAATGGCTGATCAGTGTGCACATCGGGTGTGATGCTTCCTTTGGGAACTCTGGCTTCAGGTCACATGTTTGCTCTGCTTCCTCATGAAGACCACAAGTCGCTGCTTATGCTGAGCCCCTGAAGGGACCCAGCCAGCTCCCAGTCCTCTTCCTGACAGTGATGACAGCGCCAGCCCCTCCATATCCACCAGCTCTGCTCTTGATGCTGTTCAGCACAGCTGGTTGCTCTCTTTTCTTTTGTCATTTTTTTACTGTACAGATGTGATCCAGCGAAGACTCTCCCTGACACCTACCCCACTGTGGTAACAGAGAGTCTCCTGGTGTGGAATCTGGCAGGACTATGATTTCCATTGAGGAGGAAGGAAATAAGCAGGTATGGAGGAAAGGCTGAGACCTGTCTGGCCATCTTATCATGAAGCCACACCCAGCACCGCACTGCCAAGCCACCATGCACAGCAAACTGGGAAAGGGTAGTGTTCAGTGTGGGTAGGTGTGCAAGAATGCAGCCTTCTCACACTTGACTCATGGAGAAGAGTTATCTACTGAAACAGAATTAGAGAAGACTCTGCTCAGTCACCCTGGTCTGGAATCTGCCCTAAAGAAATCAAGGTCCATCACAAGGGCCTGGGTACAAGGGTATTACTACAGCCTGGGTTGTAATAGGGGAACCAGCAACAACCTGAGCAACCCCAGTGGGAAAACAAAGAGTAAACAATGGTATGTCTACAAGATAGAGTATGTTATGCAGGATTTTCCCAATTTTTAAAATTGCAGTAAAATACATGAAATAAAATCTAGGATCTTAACCATTTATCAGAATACAGTTTAGTGACAATAAGTACAATCACACTGTTGTGAAACATCTGTCTACAGCATTCTTTTATTTTCCCTAACTGAACCTCTGTCTCCATAAACACTAACTCCTATCCCCTTCCCAGCCCCAGAACCCTGGCACCTCCATCCTACTTCCTGTGTCTTTGGGCTTGACAATTCCAGGGACTTTGTTTAAATGGAAACATACAGTATTCTTCATGTCACTGGCTCATCTCATTAGTATCATGTCCTCTAGGCCCATCTATATTGTAGCGTGTATCAGAATTTTCTAATTTTTAAGGACTGAATGATACTGCTTTGTGTGAATATGTCACATTTGTTTGTTTGCTCACCCACCAATGGACATAGCAGTGGCTTCCATGTTTTAGCTATGATGAATTTAATGCTGCTAGGAACACACATGCACAAATATTTCTTTCAATTCTTCCGGGAATATGCCCAGGAGTGGGATTGATAGATTCTATGGTAATTCTATAACCCTTTGAGGAACTGCCACACAATTTTCCAAAGTGGCTCATTATTTTACATACCCACCAGACCAGGTGTAGCGGTGCATACCTGTAATTCCAGCTACTCTGCTGAAACAGGAGGCTGAGGCAGGAGGATTGCCAATTCAAAGCCAGGCTGGGCAACTTAGTAAGATCCTCTTTTAAAATAACATAAAAAGGGATGGCATGTACCTCAGTAGTGGAGTACTTGCTTAGCATGTGATAGGTGTGGTATGGGCAAAGCTTGGGAAAACAGACTCTGGCTACTAGTTTTAAGGCAGGAGCTGGCCAGGGACACTATGGGGACCATGGAAGCCTGGAGAAAATAGGAGACACTTTGGTCATCAGGGCACAGCTCTGGGGTGAGCCTTGTCTGGGGGAACAGGCATATTCTCAGCATCAGCACCTTCAAAATAGAGTCTTGGTGACATGACAATCCTGTCTTGGGTAGGGAAGTGTATGGTCTGTATCTACTGGAAAAGGCCTGGAACACTGTAAAGTGAGGGGTGGCCTAGGATGAAAGGACACTCCAGTTCCTAGTCAAACAGCATTTTTGGGCACAGTGAGTTTTTTAATAACATTACAGGGAAGTCATTTAAAAGAGCCTCAGTGGGAACCAATCAGAAGACCCAAAGCTGGCTTCTCCCCCAAAGACTGCACTGTCAACTTATTGTGGAGCCATGATCCCACACCCGGAAATGGAAATGAGATTTGCCTCAGGAGTCTGTGTTTCTATTGGGCAGAATGAAACTTACAAACCACATCGTGCTGGGAATACTTCCATACGTGTCTACTCTTTCTTTCCTCACACACAGAAATGGAGCAGAACATGAAACCAGATAAGGAGACGGAGACAGAAACACAGAGAGACAGACAGAGACATGGAATCAGAAAGGCACAAAAAGAGAGACGGGGACTTGGAGAAGGTGGGAGGAAACCAGGGATAAGAACACAGAGCCAGCTGGTCAGATGCCATGAAGAGTTGGGGAATTGAAAGAAATCAGGAAAACCAAGCAGGATGCAGCACAGAGAGACCCAGATAGAAACACACCTGAGAGACATTGGAGAGGAGGCTCAGGCCTGGGTCCTGAAGCAGGGCCCAGAGAAGGATTAGGGTGCTGATTATACCACAAGTCATCTTTCTTTGGCGGCTACTGTGACATCCTGCAGCAAAAATTTGGTGGCTAAAACAGCACAGACCTATTCCACAGCCCTAGAGGGCAGTGACTGACAGGGGCCTCATGGCCACACAGAGACACAGGCAGGGCCATTTCCCTCCACAGTCCCTGAGAATGCCCTTTACCTCCTAGCTGCAGTCCCAGCCACTGCTGCAGCCCCTCACCTTCTAATCCAGCCCTTCTACCTGAGACAACAAGAGCCCTTGGGGGTGAGACAGGGACTGGGACACAGAGTCCCTGCTGGTGTGGTGAACTATCCTTAGTGGCATGGCATGGTCTTCCCAACCTTTGCGCTCTTTGCACCAGACCCATTGTGAGACTTGATCAAACCACAGGAGCAGAACACTCCCACCCAGTGGGGAAGTGTTCCTGGGAAACCCCAAGTAAACTCTCGAGCTTCACTTGCTCTTAATCGCCATAAAGATTGCTAAAGTGGTATTGCATAGCCCAGTGTGAGCTTCTCACCAGTGCTGCATGGACAACACCTCTGACTCGTGGGTAAGGATAACAGCTGCCTAGGGTGCTTCTTGGGTGCTTTTGCTGAGAATCCTGACCTTTCTCCTGGGCTGACAGATAATATGGTGGTGAAAAAAGTGGAAAAAGCCTGGTGTTTGTCTTCATCACATTTGTCCCTCACCATCTCACCCTTGGGTCAGAGTCCACACAGCACTGCAAACAGACACATCAGTCATGGAACACACTGTGTCCAGGAGCATGGCACAGGGTTAACGGGGCCTCTGCCAGGGGGTCTGCTCTGTGCCTCCTTCCTTTCTCTCTGGCTTTTCTGCCCAGCCTTGCTTCTTCAGCAGCTGTACCAGCCAGACCCCCCTGATTCCCTCCAGCCCATCCTACACCTGGACCAAACCACAAAGCCAAGTGTTCTGCATAAGATGATGAAAATTCAACAGCAAATCCTAGGACAAGTTGACTGTGACCACCAGGGGATCACAGAAGCAGCATCATTCAGAGCCATGCCCCTGGCCAGTGGAAACTCCTGGATGCCTGCCCACCCCGGCAAGTCTATAAATGCACTCTGCTCTCTGCTCTGTGAGCAGCTTGGCTGCTCTCTTGATCAATGTGACTCCCTCTGGCTGAGCCCCTCCAACGCCCATAAAGTTTTGCCTTTGCCCACCTGTGCCTGAATATTTGGCATGGTCTTATTTCTATTGCCCTGTAGCCAGAAGACCTCATCATGCTGTATCAGATGCACCCACATACCTGGCATGGTCTCCTTGTCTCCAGATCCTTAGTTTCACCCCATCTGTGAGTGCCTTTACCTGCAGACAGCTCACGGGTTCTGGGATCAGGACAGGGATGTCTTCAGGTCTGCTACTCTGACTATTAGACATCGCATCTATGTAATATGGCCCAGAAGCTTAATCTCAAACAAACAAAAAACAAGCCAGGTGTGGTGGCACACACCTGTAATCCCAGCACTTGGGAGGCTGAGGCAGGAGGATCACTGTGAGTTTGAGACCATCCTGGCCTACATAGTGAGTGCCAGGTCAGTCTCAACTACATAGTGAGACCCTGTCTCAAAAAACAAACAAACAAAAAAAGAAACAAAAACAAAAGCCATTTGGTTGTGGAGCTATGTTGGAGCATCCTGGATGGAATAAGATACAGATCCAGAAAAATGGCTCTCCTTGGAGGGGACAAAGACCCTGGTGAGAGGCATCCTAGGGAGGTGAATAACCCAGAGACACCCAAAGGAGCCATCACACGTGATCACAGCTGGACAAAGGTCACATGGCAGGTATTTGTGAAGAAATGATTGAGGGTATGTGTGATCCACAAGGCACACCTAAGCCAGGTGAACATCTGAATGTAGGGAACATCCTGAAGCCTAAGGGGAGCTCTAGGGAAGAAGGGTCCCTAGGGACCATTTTAACTTTTCTCCTTATAGCTTTCCACACTTGCTAAGCTTTGTGCAATGATAATATAGATATTATTTTATAATCAGAAACTACAACTTTAAAAGGAGAAGACATAGCCCCACAGCCAACACCATCTCCAGGGTGGGGAAGTGCCACTGTCTTCATGTCCAGTTCCTTATGTCCCCACAGGATGGGGAGGTACAGCCAGGCAGGATGAGGGAGCTCTCTTTCAGGGCCCTGGACCCCACCGCTCCGCAGGTGGAAGTTCAAAGGCTGTGCAGACCTTGCCCATCAGCCAATACCACATGGACAGGGCTGGCACCAAGGAGGCAGTGGACAGAGGCCGCATGTCCTTCCCTCATCCCATCCTCACCTCTGCCACATGCCCCAAGCATTGGGGAATGAAGTGTAGTTAAGGTGAGGGGGGCTTGGGGCAGAAGCTAGAGAAGCACTCTGGACCACTGGACCTTCCCTGAGCTTTGATGTGGAAAGAAATGTTTACTTGGACACAGGCACAATCCCTTTATTCGTCATTCATATGCCAAAAAGTAGCCAGAGATCAAACGTTAAGAGAAAACTAGCCACAGGTGAGGGAATACCCTAGGCTCATGAGGTTCCACTGCTCAGCCCTAGAATTGTGGTAGCCACTTGGGCAGCACCCCAGGTCCAAACCTCCCCACTTTCCTGAGGAGCAATCCATCCTGAACATCTTAGAGCAGCAGGTCCCCCACTGAGATCACCTCTGTGACCCATGGAGAAACTGGTGCAGGGCTCTGTCCATCATGGGATCGTGTGGCCTTCTACTCCTCACCTCTATCTAATCAAACCCTTTGTCCTTGGTGCCTGCAGAGGGCCTGTCAGAAGGGCCGGCAGTGCTCCCAGGGCTTGCCCTCACGATGGAGCAACTTGGGGCCCCCCAACACATTCTCCAGGACCTCTCTCAAGGAGAACATGCAGAAGGAGATATCTTCATAGGAAGCCCTGGCCCCACTCTCAAATAGACAGGCAAAGGCCAGGGCTGCCCCTGGCCCAGACCCAAGGGTTGCCAGGTCAGAATAGCCACTGGGGCCTTCAAAGATCACCCAGGGCTCTGTCCAACTGTGGGTGTCCGTGGGGGACCGGCTCAGGTAGATGCCCATGCGGAGCCGAGCTCTTTCCCCCACTGGGTGAGAATACAGCAGCCATGTGGAGCTCTGTTCTGGGACCACAGAGGGCAAGGAGAGCATTGGAGTATAGGTCTCCCCATCTCCAAGCCCAGGCTCTAGGCCAGGCTGCTCCTGGCTGTCCTTCCAGGGCTGTGGGTGGCAGAAGGGCCTATTGATGGGATCCTGGACTCTAGGACAGAGACAGGGAGGGTTTGGCCCCTCCTGCTTGCTGAGGGCAGGGGCTAGGAAACCTATGATGCTGCCCTGGCAGCCCCGGGCAGTCTCTGCCAGGGTGGGCACAAGTTCTGCAGGCAAGAAGGAGGTGCCCTCATCAGTGCTGAGTGCCTGCACACGGCTGCCCAGGGGACTCCGGGCATTGCAGTAGAGGAAGCCACCATCCACTGCAGCCAGCTGGCACTCGCCTGAACGCAGGTTGGGCACCAGGCCCCCGCAGTGCCAGGTACGGCCCTGGTCATCACTGTAGATGGCAAAGGAGTGGGAACTGGTCCAGCAGACCTTGCCAAAGCATTCCCGGCGGTCCACACGATAAGTGTAGGCAGGCACCAGCAGGCGACCTGAGCGCAGCTGGACCCCGTGGCCCGGGCCCACAGCAAAGGTGGCCCAGTCTGTGGAGAGGAGGGGTGCAGTGAGGAGCTGCGGGAACCCTGGGAGAGGACAACCTGGGCCACATCAGCATGAGGGCAGGAAGTCTGGCCAGTGCCATTGGCTGGGGCTCCTGTGTGACCTGAATCTCCTGGGCTGGACGAGCCTTATGGGGCTATCCACCAGGGTCCTGGAGCCCATATGGCCAGGTGTGATTCTGTGTTGGTGCTAGGGATAGAAACCAGGGCCTCAAATGTGCTAGGCAAGCACAAGCCACCAAGCTCACAGCCCAGCCTAGACCAAGCCCTTTGTGTGCAGCACTGGTCACACCAAATCAGGTGGGTGGCCACAAACAGTGCCTGAGGAGGGCAGATAGGTGTGCTGGGCCTCCCTATGGATCTCTGGTTCAGCCCTGTGTCCTGCCTATGTCCTGTCCACACCCTGGAGTGGTGCTCACTTCTGGGGCTGGGTAGCCAGAGCCCACAAGCAGGGGTCAGAGCAGCTGTGGACAGCCATGGGCAGTAAGCTCCCTGACTAGGGAGGGAGCAATGCAGGTGGGGAAAAGCTGGGGACCCCAGGCCCTGGCCCAGGCCCTCCGAGCCAAGTGAGAAAAAAGAAAGAGGGAAAAGGAAGTGGTAAAGGAGACAGGAAGGACGTTAGGTTTGGGGTATGAAAACTCAGTGTTCCCTGCTCTCCTATGCAGAGACAAGCCCCAAAAGAGGACAGTGACTTGAGAGACCCAGCTAGTAGAGGCAGTGCAATCAGTAGACAGTGCAATCAGTCCCATCTTCCAGGCAGCTCTGAGACGGGGTATGGGTCACCTTTGGCAGGAGGTTGGGGATGAGAAGCAAACTGGAGATCCCTGATGGCCAGGATCTCCCAAAAAACCCGGGAGATCCCTCTCAGTCCAGGCCCCGCCCACCCCTTCACCCTCCTACCCAACACTGCTCTGCCCGCAGCTATCCCAGCCAGGTCCAGCCTGCTCCGCTCTGGCCTGTGCCCCCCTGTCTACCCTGCACTGTCCAGGCCCAGCCCCATGCCCCGACATGCCCCCGTCTCAGCCCCGGCCCTGCCTACCCTGCACCTGGGCTCCCAGAGTCTCTTCAGTGAGGTCCCGCGGGCCGCCCCAGGTGAGGCCTGAATCTCGGCTGGTCACACAGCAGAGGCGAGCCGCATTCCTGCCAGTGGCGATCTGCACGGCCTCGGGCGTGTGGCCCAGCACCGCGATGAAGAAGAGAAAGATGGTGCCCGAGCCCGCGTCCAGCACAGGACAGGGGTTCATGGAACGGTGCTCCTCCAGGGCGGCTGTTGCTAGCACACGCAGGGCACCCCACTACGTGAGAGGAGATAGGCTGCTGAGGGCATCCCGAGGTACTAACCTTGCCCCACCCTGATGCGCCCCTCCTCCACTCGCCTGCACTCCTCCGGAGCAACCTCGGTTCCCACTTACCCGCATGGCGCCCCCAGCCAGTGCACCGCGCCGCAGCACCAGGCGGTGCGCGTGGGCGTCGTCGGGGCTGTGCCGTTGCTCCGCGAAGGCCAGCAGTATGGCCCGGGGCGGTATGGACAGAAGCGCTGGCACGCGGTAGGTCAGGCCGGTCCTCTCGCGCCGGAAAAGCACCGTCCTCGCGGGGGCACGCGGGGCTCCCATGCTGTGCGGACAGGGGTCAAGGTGATCCCGGGGCACCACAGCATTTGTACCCTCCATGTGCCCCCCTGCAGGGATCCTGTCCTGGACCCTCGCCAGAGGGCGATGCACCCTGCCCTTCCTCCCTCCAGCTATGCCCTGTGTCCAGCCTGTGTCCACAGAGCCCAGCAGGAGGCTGGCCAAGGGACAGTCGGGCCCAGAGCGTTGGTCAAGGTGGGACTCAGTGTCCCTACATAGGAAACAATCCCAGGGAAGCCACAATACAGACACGCAGACGTGCAGCACCACACAAACACCACACTAACACCACACATAGGACCCCAGAAGTCACCCCAGAGGGTCCACAAAAGAGGAGACCCTCACTGCCAGCTGTCCCCATGGCTCCCCTGTGAGCCTGAAAGCCTGGACAGTGCAGGGCACAGGGATGGCAAGGGGGTTCCAAGGGACCAGAGAGGTTCTGACCCCATCCCAGCCCTGACCCCCAGCAAAGGGAAGTAGGGGAGGGAGGGGAGACCAACCTGGAGAGCCCTTTGACCCCTCTCTGTCTGGAGAGGAGGGGGCCAGGAGACCTGAGGAGTAGGCAGGTAGGCAGCATTCCAGGGTAAGGGCTCCCTGACCCCACTACTCCCTAAACCTCTGCAGGTCACTGTCTTCTCACCCACAGGACAGGTCCTGCAGGGGACAGGATCCTTGTGACCAGCTCACCCCATACATCCCCATCTGTAAGGCCCTTACCTAAGGGACACCCAAGAAACCTCCATAGGGAGCCAGCCAGGAGTGTAACTGCCTTCCAGGCGCAGCCCCAGCCTTGAGCTTGCTCCTTCCCCAGTGAACCCCTGCACTGGTCACAGGTTGGACCTGCCAAAGGACTGTACCCTCTGCTCTAAGGCCAGTGAGGCAGTGAGGGAGTATGTGCAGCCCAGCACAGGGAAGAGGGGAGGTCAGTGCTCTGGGTCAAGACAGGGGTACCCTCTGTGCAGTACACAGCTGTCAGCCCTCAGCCACCACCCCACCAGCCACCACCAGCCATAGACCCCCACCCAACCACACAGAATTCACTAACAGGATGCCATGGTATGAATGAGACCTGCGAACCTCACAGGGGCCCCAGGATGGAGAAGGGTCAAGGATGAACACTCACATAAACAGGAAGTGGCCTCGCAGATGCCAAGGGCTGTGCAAGCCACCTCCAGCCCCGACCTGGGTCTTCTGCTTCCACCACCCAGGCAGCACTCTGGCTTCTGTCAACCCCACCACCAACTCCGCTCCTAGAGCGGCTTCCTGTCTCCTCAAAGGGCAATTGTGCCCAGGCTGGAGCAGGTGCGGCCTGCACATGTTCCCAGACAGAGCAGAACAAGGAGACATCTCTCTGCAGCTGGCTCACTCCCCAAAGCCAGGGATCTGGTGGGGGAGCTGGTATCAGCACAGCCTGCAAAAGCAGGGGCCAGCCTAGGGAGGGAGCAGGAGAGATGGAAACTCCAGAGACCAGTAGTTAATCCCAGTGCACACAGGAGAAACTGAGAGCTGCAGTGACAAGGCTGCCACAGCTTGCCCAGGCCAGGCCTGTTTCTCCAGAGCCTCAAGGTTCTTGAGGGTGCAGTAGTTTGGGAGAGCAGCCCCCGAAGCCAACCCTGCTCTGTGTGGCTAGTCAGTCCACTGAAGGGCTTCAGCTTGTCCAGAATGGCTGTGCTGCAATACAAATGAGTGCCCACTCCCTCCTTGGACATGGGGTCACAGAGGGAAAACTGAAGCCAGGGAAGAAAAGAGTCCTATACAACCTGGTCCTTTGGCACCTGGGCCCCAGGGCAGGTGGTAGGGGTCATCTGTAGCCCAGCCCAACCCACATCCTCTGGGTCTGTGTCTTTGACCCCATTGGCTCATTGCAGGACATGATCATAATGCAGAGGCCCCTCTGCTTAGAAGTTGGGCTGGGGCCTTCAGGGCTCTGTCCCCTACAGCAGTGTCTCCAGTCCACACCTCCAGTGTCCTGGGCTCCAGCCAGGACAAGCCACAAAATTGCAGCCCTTCCCCTCACAGAGGATCACCTGCAAGCCCAATTACATAAAGTCATACAGGGGGACACTTTGGGCCCACACTATATCCAAGTGTATCCACCCCCTCTTCTGCCCCAAGACTCCTCAGTGTCACCCTCCACATGGACTGGGAAATTCTCCCACGGGGGCATCATGCAGGATCTTGGCTGGAGGGCCCCTTGGGACTCACATAACCTTTCATCCTGGAAGTGCAAAGCCACCTGAGTGCTCTGTAGGGGTGCAGAGATGGGCTTAACTATCTTCCCAAGGCACAGAAAGAAACAGCAGGAACAGTGCAGGGCTGAGCAGGGAGAGGAACTTCTGCCACTGTGGGTCCTGGTGGTTGTAGGCAGCTGCCCTGCATGAGGGCCCACTGTGTGAGTACAGGTTAGCTGACCCCTCCAGGTTGTGACAAAACTTTCCATGCTGCCCCAGTAGATCATCCAGTTCTAGTGGGTATAGCCCAGAGCCAGGCCTGGTGTGCAGGAGAACAAAGCATCCAAATGGCAGCATGAGGCCCAGGGAGCAGGGCTTCCTCTGACAGGGTTCAGGACAAGGGAGGGACCTGCCAACAATGGCCATGCTGGGCAGATTGTGAATTACCAAGGGCCCACAGAGGTCATTCCTTCCAGGTGCACAGGGGTCCTGGGCACAACATAGCCCTGGGCCTCTGCCCCTCAGTGTCCCAGGACCCATGGGTTGCAGCTCCACATCTTATTCCCCAGCCTCACAGGACTCGGTGACTGATACCAATCCCAACTTCCTGAGCCTCCTGGGACTCAGGGCAGCCATGGCACCAACTACCTCTGAGGGTTCCTGCCAGCCTCACCCTGCTGTGTCTGTGGGGCACTCTTAGGCAGCCTAGGCCCCCCTCAACATGGAGTTGCCACTGAGACACGGGACTGCAGCGAAGGGATCTGAGAAACCAGATTCCTACATCCTCATGTCCTGGCATCTTCTATCAAGTCCAATTCCCTCCCTTTGGAAGAGACTCTCAGCTGAACTTGGGGTCTGGTTTATAAAGGCCCTGCACTCCTTGGACAATGAGGGCAAATACTTCCTGGTATAAGGACCTGGTGAGCACCCAGATTTCCACAGAAGTCACGTTCTGCAAGGAACTGGTGGCTCTTCTCTGGAATTCTCTTTTGATTCTGGGCACCTAACAATATTTTTGTTTGATAGGCATGCCTAATATGTAAGTTCTTGGGAGTATCTTCTTTTGGTTTATTCTGCTGTGGGCTATAAGTGATTTGACTCCTTCAGCCAGGCATAGTATCCATGCCTAGACTCCTAGCTATTGGGGAGGTGGAGGTAGGAGAATCACTTGAATCCACAAGTTGGAGTACAGAGTGAGCAGCACAGCAAGACTCATGCACTTCCCCCAGCCTTAAAAAAAAAAAAAAAAAAAAAAAAAGCTATGAATGACTTGGCTCTTTAACGTTTCTCCTCCCTACATGTTTCTGAAAATCTGGGAGTAAAAATAACCATTCTAGATGGCAATACAAGATGGCCAGAGAAAAACCACTGGCCCCAGGCATGCGCTCCTCTCTTTCCTGTTTGTGAAGATCTCCTGATGACAGGCAGGCAAGATCACCACAAGACAATTTCTGTGCAACTAGAAACCCCAGTCATAGGTGGCATGAACTAGGGCAAAGGACATCTGTCAACTAAAACAAAATCTTAAGGTACAGACATTGATCAAAGCAAAACATTTTGCCCAAATCCTTAGAATTCCCTGACAGGGTTTACAAGGTTTTCTCTAGTCTGAGGAGATGGATCAGAAACAAAGTGGGAACCCAGAATTCTAAGGTATGCCACAAAGATTGCCCCAGGACTCTCTCAGCCTATTTATGGTCCTTCCTCAGATATGATTTTTGGTATTTAGTTTTAAATCAGTAGGATAGAGTCACGCTTAAACTACAACTCAGGGTTAACAGGTACAGGCTACAGTTTCTTTAACTGTCTTGTTTGTTTGTTGTTGTTGGTGTTGTTGTTGTTTCACCTATTTTGTATCTGTTGACCTTTTTCCCTTATTGCATTATGAAAAGCAAACTGAAACAAAAATTTTACTAGGGCAAATCCTGGTAAAAATCTCTCCTGTGACATTTCAACCAAGATAAGAAAAAGAAAACAACTTCAAGTTAATGACTGCAATTTACACAGCTCCATGGCAACACAGACAGAGGCAGCTCTTCTGGAAATGGAGATCTAGTTTGCTTGGCAAACAGTGGCCCAGTCTGATAAAACAGTTCTGCCTTTTTCAGTCACCATCAGGCCTAAGTCAAAACCTTGGGCTCAGAACAATAATAAAAGATCTCTGTCTAGTTCAAAAATTTCTTTGTCTGTCACATGGACCTGAAAGACAAAAACAAAAATGAAGAAAAACAGCAAATAATTTTTTAACAACCAATACTAGGGCCGGGGATCTAGCTCAGTGGTGCCACCGCCTGCCTTGCAAGCAACAAGGTCCCAAATTCAATCCCTAGTACCAAAAATAAATAAATAAAACCATTTCTAAAATATTTCCTGCCCATATCAATTAGTCAAACAAACCACACTGGCAAATGTGAAAAAAAAAAAAAAAAAGGTAATTTTTTTGTTAAACTCGGGGTTGATTGGAGAGTTGTTGTGCCATTCAGTTCCGGCTAAAGCACAAACATCTGCCAAGTACTTCCTGGTTTGAGACTGAAAAAAGGAGAGGAAAGAGTAAAAGTGGTTTTTTTAAAAACAAAGCTGCTATGGGAACTGCTTTACCCAAAAATCTGATCCACAGCCTTCTTAAGACTCCCCACTACCAGATCAAATGAAAACCTTGAAGTTTAATTGTTTGGTAGGTGACCTTAACGCTGTGTCAGAAGCAGTGCCAGTTTCTGTCATGGCTTCTCCTTGGGAGGAGTGTCACTAACTGAGGCTTTCAACTGCACTCTCAGCTTCACTCACAGCTTCACACACTGCCCTTTCAGGGGCACATTGCCTGGCCTCCTAAACCTTCTGAAATCTGGGGGAAAGCTTCTCTAACCTCAACTCTTCTCAACTCTTCCATACTGGGTGCGTATAAAACCAGCATTATGTGAATAATGCCAAGGCCTGCCACCAACTAGAACAGCAGCCAGAACCCCTTGGATTACCTGAGTGCCTGAATGGCTGAATGCTGTGAACTGAATGTCAGAGAACCAATTCCCTAGGAAGCCTTTCTCTAACAGTGTATCTGGGACTTTCTTCTCAAAGCAACCTTTCACCTTTGGTATTCACATCTTGCCACAATTTGCCTGAGGTGCTGGACACAGACAACAGGATTTAATGTTTACTCTGCCAGGTTTCAGTCTTTGAATTTTTTGTCTTCCTTCCTTTTTCTCTTTCTTTCTTTCTTTCTTTCTTTCTTTCTTTCTTTCTTTCTTTCTTTCTTTCTTTCTTTCATATTGGGGGTCAAACTTGGGACCTTGTGCTTTTGAGGAAGGCAGTGACACCACTGAACTAAATCCCCGACCCTGGCCTTATTTCTCTCTACCTACTCATTTCTCCCTTTTGGAATGATACTATTTACTCTCCCATTGTATATCAGAAGTGTTTAACTTTCTTTTTTATGTTTGCAGGGGCTCATAACTATGAGTTTGCCTTGAGTCTCACAGGAAACTTTGGGCTTGCACTTTTCAGCAATTTTGGAACTGTTAAGACTTTTGAGATTCTTAGAGATGAACTAAATGCATTTTGCATAAAGAGACATACATAAGTTTTTGGGCCCAGGGGCAGAATGTTATGCTTTAGATCAAGAATATTGCAAAATGTAATGCACTCATAGATGGGTCTTTTGGAAGGTAACTGAATCATGGAGGTGATAGAACTGACTTACTGATGGGAGGTGAGTCTCGTGAGAGGAGGTGGGTCACTGGCTGTGTGGTCTGGATGGATATACCTCCCTCCCAAGCTCATCCCTTCTCACTCTGCTTCTTGGCCACAGTGATGTGAGCCATTTTCCTCTACCCAGGTTCCTTCCCCTCATGGTGCTTTTCTGTTTAAACCTGCTGAGATGGACTGAAACCTCAGAAACCAAAAGAAACTTCTGCTACCTTAAATTGTGGGTATCAGGTATTGTGTCCCAGTGAGGAGAAAGTGATTAAGATAATAATTAACCCAGATGACTTTTTAGTTCACATGACTTGTTGGTAAAATTAAAATGAAGATGTCTTTAGAATTATTAGCATAGAGTTTTGCCTTGGTTTGCTGGCCAAGCAGGGTTATATTTACCTCTTAAATGTTTAAGACCATAAAAGTACGAGTTTAACCTAATGAGCAAATGACACA